CCACCATGGGCGTCAAAGGTATATTTACACGTCAAACCCTTGTTTTTCATAGATATATTTATCTCCGAAGATATGTAAACAAATATATAAGGTGGGCAGTTATGGGAGCGGGGCGAGTGGGGAGAAAGCCACCAATCCAGAGATTGTGATCTCACCCGTCCCAGAAAAAGCTGCCATTTGCTCAGTTATGCCTTAATAGGACGGTACCAGGAAGGGCACCCCAGGAAGAGCTGCTGGAAGAAGGTTTATCTGGGTGAGGATAAGAAATCAGGATGAGAAGCCACTAGCCTCATCCTTCAAGAGCCAACTGTCTGCGAGTCCCTGGGTGAGCTTGGCTACTGGTGCTCCTGTGAGCCAGAGCCCCCGTGTTCCCAAGATGAGAGGAGCCATTGCTGGCCCAGACGTGGCGTAAACTCCAGGTGTGGAATCCCACACTCAACCCTTATTTAACCTAAGCAGAGTATCAGAGAAGACATTTCAATGGAGGAAATGGGGAGAGGGGCGATGGAGGGGGCTGGAATTGTCATGCACCCAGGGCAGGGACAATGCCACACAACTAACCAGGTAGTGGACGGGTCAATGGGAGAGAAAGCCCAAGGTTGCCATAATTAAGAGGCCTGCTACCTGAGTCAGCTAGCTCCTGTGGGCTTGGAGAAAGGGGTCAACATTCTCCCTGAGTCCATGCTGACCCCCACTGCCCGCCCCAGGGAGAGGTGTTTCAGCCCCAGACTTCAATGAGGTCCCCGGATTCCATGCCCAGATCAGCCGGCAGCTCCTTCCCTGAAAGCTTCGTCCCATCAAAGAAGAAAGTGAGCTTGCTTCCTGAGAGCCCCATGGCCTCCTGGTAGTGGGTCATGAGGGTCTTGAGAGGCGAGTCCTGGATGGAAGGGGAATGGACGGAAGCATGTGTAGGGGCCAACTGAGAACGTGGGTCAGGGGAAGCGAGGACTGAGCCCGTAAGAGCCCCCAGCGGACGGGAGGAGAGGGTCAAGAGGTGTTAGTAGGACGGGCTCAGGCCCCTCAGGTAGAGCAGGAGGCCGGTGGCCAAGGCTGTGGGTGAGGGAAGTCCTCTTCACCACAGCGCAGGGCACAGAGCCCTTAAACAAGCCCCAGCTCTAGACAGAGCGTGACTGGCACTGGAGGCCAAGCTCTCCACTTCCGTGGGTCAATGTGGGCAACGAGAGAGCTTTCTGTAGAACTCTTCTTGATATGGCTGGACGGTCAGAATGTTTATGTGGATTATATATACCGATCAAACTTTTAAAATAATTAAAAGATTAAAAAATAAAATAAAAATAAAAAGAGTGCTTTCCCGCACAGGGCTGTGCTGAAACTAAGATCATATCCTGACTGGAGTACTTTTCCTCAGCACAGGGAGTAGAGTTCACACCGGAAGGAGGCCTTGGGAGACTTGACGGTACACATATCCCAGACTGTAATTAGAAGGAGGGAAGCTGACCCGTGGGGTGGGTGGGACCTAAGAGCATGGAGGGCCAGCAGGCCGTTTCCCTTGTCTGCAGCAGGGTTATCAGGGTCAGGAGGGCTCTGTCCTCCTCCGAGGGGAGGGCAGGGGGGGCGCGCAGAGCAGCTCCCCCCACTCACCGGAGAGAGCGAGACTTCCAGCGTCTGGTGTTTCTCCTTCCCCTGCACCCGGAGCTGGAGCTGCTGGGAGGGCGTCGAGGACTCCGGAGAACTTGCCAGCACCACACAGTCTGCAGGAGCGGGGCAGGAGGCCAGGCCTAAGGGACGGTCTAGAGGCAGGAGCCCTCTGGACAGTCCCGTCACCCCTTTCCAGGGCAGATGCCTCCCCCACCTCCCCGCTGTCCGCTCACCAATGATGTCAGCCACTCCAAGCTTCAGGGTCCTTGGCGTGGCGGTAGGGGACAGCTCTGTCTCTCCGAAAAGCAAGAGGATCCTGCTTGGGGAGACCCCGAGGCGAGCAGCCATGTGGTCCACCACACTCTGCAGGGGCTCCGACTGGGCAGAGGACAAGAAACAAAGGCGCTCATCCTGCCTTCCTGTTTGCCCTGCCTTCACCCCAACAGCCCCGTCTCAGACGCAGGTCTCCCCCTTCACAACTGGCAGAGGAGACAGAGTGAATGCCTATGAATGGGGAATGCAGGCAAGGGACGTGCCAAAAAAGGAGCCAGAAGCAGGGATCTGCAGCACATTAGAGACTCACAAGCCCCAGCTGATGGGCACCAGGCGGGAACACGGGCCGGTGTGGCTGGCTGTGTGTCCCATTTGTAACAGAAGGCAGAGACAGACCTGTGTCTGTAAGTCCCCTTGCAGGGGCTGGCAACAGACCGAGATGTTCTTGAAGGGCTGCATAGGGCAAAGGCAGCACTGCTGACGTGGCCTGGAGCTGCAGCGCCCCACGCGGGATTAGCCTGTGGTTCCGTGCCGCCAAGTGTCCAACTCAGAGTGACCCCATGTGCCACAGAGCGAACCACTGCCCCGTCCAGCGCCATCCTCACAACTGGTGTGTCCAAGCCCACTGCGGCAGCCACCGCATCAGTCCACCTCATCGAGGGTCTTCTTTTTCGCTGTCCCTCTACTCAGTCTTGTAGGACACAGAAGGGTTTTGCCCCAGGTTGTCCCCTATATTATATACCAAGCCTAAGATGCTGCTTGCTAACACATGGTCAAGATCCATACACTTGGATGTCAGCTGCTTAAAGTTTATCTCCCTGAGGGTTATCAGCCATCTAGAGCAATCAGACCCTATTGTCTGTCCCACCCTAGGTGGGGCCCACTCCCTGCTGTTCCCCCGAAGGAGAGCCCGAAGACAAGGTCAAGCCAACTGAAGGATGACCAAGATTAGGGTGCCCTCTTGAATCTAGGGCCTTCCCACTTTGTCATACGTGTACCCCTAGTGCCTCCCCTTCCTATTGTGTGTACACCCCTAGCTCACCCCCCTCCTATAGCATGTATGCCTATGGTACAACCCCTTCCCATCATGATGAAATCAGGGGGGCTTGCACAACCCTGAAAATGTATATAAACTATGATTGGAAGTATATTTGCTCTCTCTGTGTAGACCTGGCTGCTGAGATCATGGCTGTCCGGGAGGTGAGCAATTGCATGATTTATCTTGTCTGATGTCTACTGAATTGTACCCCTCAATTACACAAGCACCCCTTTGGACCCGTTAGCTTGTGGGGCTGGTACCCCACAAAGTATGACATCTTTTTACAAGGATTGTTCCCTCGTGACAACCTGTTCAAAGTAGGTAAGACAAAGTCTCATCATCGTCTCTGCTTCTAAAGAGAAGACTTCCTTCCAAGCGGATTTGCTGGTTCTTTTTTTTTTGATTTGTTGGTTCTTTTGGCAGTCCATGCACCTTCAACAGTCTTCTCCAGCACCATCATTCAAACGCATCGATTCTTCTTCCGTCTTCCTGATTCAACGTCCAACTTTCACACGCATGTGAGGCAACTGAGAATGCAATGGCTGAGTCAGCTCAATGGAAAGAAGGCCCAAATCCTCACAACTGGACCAAGCGGTGACATCATGACAGATGGAGAAGAGACACAGGCCTGGTGCTCCCTAGCTGGCCATCTTCATTGTCCTTCGTGCCGTGGAAATGGGCCAGCGCTGCAACGCTCCAAGGCTCCACCTGGAAGCGGGGAGAGCTCGGATGCCTGCATGACCTATGCTGTGTCAACAACTCATCAAGACTCCCCAAAATCACCCCCCCAAGCCAACGGGTCCTGAAAGCAGCAGCTCGGGGGAAATGGGCAATTACCTACAGAGGAGAGCCCAAAAAGCTCAGCAGAAACCATGCAGGCAAGTAGGCAATGGGATGGTATATAAAACTCCGAGAAGAAAAACCTGCCAACCGCAGATCAGGCACCGAGACAAAGTGTCCCTCACACATGAAGGCAAAGATCAGTGGAAATTAAGGGAATGTGTGAAAACGAGACCACCCTACAGCTATAGGGAGTTCTCTGGGCAGAGAATCAACAACTGCAGGCAACAGCAACACCTGGAAATTAACCTAAACATAGAAAGAAGTATCAAACATGGATGAAGCCTTGTGGTAATGACTGTACAACTCTTCTTGATATAAGTGAACCACTGAAGTGTATGATGTGTGGATTATGTCTCAATAAAACTTAAAAAAACAGCAACAATGAAACTACAAGGCTGAAAATAGCAGACCAGGGACATGAAGTTTGCAAACGATGATAATTACGAAGCACGGAGCAACTGGATGGGGTCATGCCAGAACCGCCCCGATGAGGAGAAGCAGCAGAGACCAGACTAACAGGGCACAGTGCCTTAAACTGGGAAGATCGTAATGGACTGCAGGGTAACCTCGGCAAAAACGAATCAATCTTCTCACTGAAGTAAAAAAGGAGAAAATTATAGCGATTCAGTAAACAGTGAAACTCAACAATCATGAAGAGGAGAAGAAAACCTGTACACAAAATGAACTGAGCCCAGAAGGATATGTGGAACAAAGGAGACATACATGCACAAAGACCCCAGCACACGGACAGCAGTAAACGCATGTGTATTGATGAACACACTGACTGTAAAAGGATTCAAAGCACCAGGCAGAGCAGCCGAAGGAATAGGAGATCTTGACCACCAATATGCTGTCTACTAGAGACACCTTTTAGACACAGAGACAAAAATGAGTGAAAAATCACAGCAGGGGAAAACGTATCAAGCGAACACCAACCCGACAGGGTGCAGTATTGGCGACAATAATGTCTGACAAAACAGCCCTGAAGGTACAAACCAGCAACGAGACGTGGGAGTGCATTATGTAATGATCAAAGAAACAACCAGAATAACGATCTACACAGGCAACAAAAACGCTCCTAAGTAAAAAGGTGCATGGACTACTTTTAAAACAATGAATTACAGAAATTAACAATGCCGCAGGAATAGCAGGGGGCTTTCAATACACCACTCCCGATGAAACACAGTAACTGGAAAGAAACTCAAGGAAGACACCACACAAACAAACCACAAACTCACTGCTGTCAAGTCCATTCTGACTCACGGCACCCCTATAAGACAGGATAGAACTACCCCTGTGGGTTTCTGAGGCTGTAACTCTTTGTGGGAGTAGAAACCTCGTCTTTCTCCTGTGGGGAGCAGTTAGTGTTTTTGAACTGCTTACCTCGCGGCTGGCGGCCTACCACGTAACCACTTTACCACCAGGGCTTGAATGAAGATACAGAAGCTCTAAATAACACCACCAACCAACTCAACCTCATGAACACACACAACACTCCACCCACAACACACTAAACATTCTTATTCAGCAGGCATGGGACACTCTCCAAAACAGACCACAGAACTGTGGTTCTATGAAATTAGAAACCAATAATAAGAAGATCAATCAAATATTTAAAAAATCAAATGCATGGAAACTGAGTTATACCCCGATTAAAAACTACTAGGCAATAAAAAGGAACTTTTAAAAAGAAAGAAAGAAGTAAAGAGAGGGAACCGATCACAATGACCTACCTATAGCCTCCTCCCAGGGGGATGGACAACAGATACGGGGGTAAAGGGAGACATCGGACAGTGCAAGACATGGAAAAATAATAATAATTTATAAATTATCAAGGGTTCGTTCATGAGAGAAGTGGATGGAGGGGAAAAAAGTGAGGAGCTGATGCCAAGGGCTCAAGTAATAAGAAAATGCTCTGAAAATGATGATGGCAACAAATGTACAAATGTGCTTGACACAATGGATGGATGGATGGACTCTGATAAGAGTTGTACGAGCCCCAATAAAATGATCTTTTTAAAAAAAAGGAAGAAGTAAAGAACCCCTTACATGAAAATGAAAACAGAGCATACCAAACTCTTTGGGACCCAAACCAAGCAGTGCTCAGAGAACAGTTTGCAACTAGCTTGACCTGGGAGGGAAAGCCAGGGACGCGGGCACTGCTGAAGAATGACAAAGCGGGAGGCCTCCGACCCCCAACCTCAAAACCGACACACAACCTGGGGTGGCACCACAACTGACACGGAATGGAGACCCCAGACAGAAGGAAACCCACCCACATCTGTGCCCACGCGCCAACACCATTAAACGGGGACAAAACCCTGTCTTTAGAAATGGGGCTGGCAACACTGAACAGGCCTTTGCAGAAAAATTAAACAGGATCCGCATACAAAACTCTCCCATGTACAGAAACTGGCGCCAGGTGGAGCAAAGACCTTAAATGATAAAAAAGCACCCCAGAAAACATGCAGGCACACTTTAGGGGTCTTTACACGTGTCATAAACACACGATCAAACAGAAATGAAAATACACAGAGGGGTGACTGGGACCCCTATAAATTAAACATGGATGCACATCTAAAGACTTCACCAAAAGAGTGTCGAAAAGAGATTTTACAGACTGGGGGATGGGGAGTGGGTGGGGGGAACTGGCAACAACATACAGGGCAAGGAACTACTCTCTCAAACGTATAGAAAACGTCACTTACAGAAGACACGCTCAGGCACTTCACTAAGGCAGACATGCTAGCCGACAGCAGACGCAAACCCAAAAGAAATTCTCGTGACCATGCGCCCTTTGAGATGCAAAGGGGAACAATGAGACAGCATCTCACACACACAAACAGAACACCACACCAAGTTCAAGTAAAGATAGCTCTGCAAAGACACACAGCAAGCTGATCCCAAGGGCTCACTAGAAAGTAAATGTCTAGAAAAGAATGAGGGCAACATACGTACAAACATGCCTGATACAATTGATATATGGATTGTGATAAGAGTTGTAGGAGCCCCCAATACAATGATTTCAAAACAAAACACACACATCAGTGAACCTGTAGGGCATTATGCTGAGTGCAATCAGTCAATCACAGAAGGACAAATGTTGCATAACATTTCCTGTTGTAAAAAGTCAAGGCAAAGTTTTCACAGTAAAAGAAACATTGTTCAGAGGCTACCAGGATGTGAAGGAAAAGAAGAGTCACATCACTAATTAAAGAGTTGCCATCCAGTAACAGGCAAGGGGCGGCAACAAGCAGTAAGAGGGAGGCCAACAAAACATGGACACCTAACAAGGTGCCTTACAGGCCTGTGAGGGAAATGGTGCACTACACACAAACCTCCAGGAATGGTAACCCCTGAGCAAATGCATGGATCACCCTAACAGCTGACCCTGCATGGAAGGGAGGATGAAAATAAACCCATGAAACTGAGGGGCCTTCCAAAACCTCATGGGAAATGCCATTATTTTGTAACTCAATTTTGTCTATAAAATCTTTGAAGTCTACGCATAGGTTTGAGAGGACACTTCCACGTATGTGTTTGAGAGGTGACCACGGTCAACACACCCTGCGCACACTGAGGGAACTCTGGTCCGAGGGCTCAGGAGCGCAGTCTCAGGGACACCACGGTCAACATGTTTCCCGGGGTTTTCCGGATCATTCCCAGCGATGGCTAACATGGAATGAGAACGCCACAACAGATCCAGGGGACAGTGGATGGTTGAAAACCAGGAAAGGCGCACATCAGGTTGTCATTCCATCTGTTCGCCGGGAAGAGTACCTGTGTTAGAGGATGGCTGACAGATGGCAGAGAAGACGGACTATGCGCAGCAGCACACAGCATCAGGGCGGAGGGCGGCTATGATACGAAGATGACAGACCTCGCTTGCTGAAAGCCAAGAGGGCTTGAAGGACCTACCGGTGAAGGTCAAAGCACACGCCTGCAGTACGGAGTACAACTCAATAGAAAGAAAACAAATATCCTCAAAACTGGACCAGTAGACGTCAGGATCAACAGAAAAAGACTGATGTTGTCAGGACTTTCCTTTTGCTTGGCTCCAAAATCAGTGCTCACGGAAGCAGCAGTGAAGAACTGGATTGATGTATTCCCTGCACTGGGCAAAGTGTAAGCAAAGATGTCCCTGAAGGCCTGACCCAAGCCAGGGCAGTTTCTCAAGGCCTCACCTGCATGTGAAAGTTGGGCACTGAATAAGGAAGACGGAAGAACCGATGCGCCTGCATCTGAATTATCAGCAGTTCACAACCATCAGCCACTCTGCAGGGGAAAGACTGACGGGTTTCTACCCTCATAGAGTTCCAGTCTCAGCCCCTCACAGGGGCAGCGGTGGCTCTCTTCTGCCCCATAGGGTCCTTGTGTGTGGGACTCGCCTCCATGGTGTGGCTGGTGAAGAACACTGACTATACCATGGGAGGGTACCAGAAAGTTCTTGAGAAGTGAGAATGGTGATACTCTGTCTCATGTGCTTTGGACACATTAACCAGTCTCTGGAAAAGGACATCATGCTTGGTAGAGGGTCAGCCAAAATAAGAAACAAGGAAGACCCTGGAGGAGATGGATGGTTTGTGAATACCCCCACAAGGGTGAGCACAGCACAGGGCCACAGGTACCTCGTCCTGTTGTGCACGGGTTGGCTGAGTTGGACCCAACTAGACAGCCCTGAGAAACAACCGTGCACCAAGACAATGTGCACAGCCTACTTTGGAGAGTGGTGACTGCGATCTTAAAAGCTTGCCACCAGCCATCTAAGGTGCAGCTTTCATTGACCTTTCTCCCTCTAAAAGAACGAGTTAAGAAAATGGATTTGTAATTATGATTGCCAGGCAGTTAGCTGATAAGGTGGGATTTGTCCATCTTGCCCCTTTGTAGGGCACTGTGCCGTGTCCTGGTCTGGACCTCTTAGAAGAAAGAATGGTTAAGGAAAGGAAAAGGCATAAGAATAGACAGGAAGTTTGTCCCAAGAGGAAAGAACAACATGAAGGGACAGCAGGCAAAAGACAGGAGGTGCTGGAAGGCCTGGCAACAACAGAGAGCAGGGTGTGCTGGGAACAGGAAGACACCGGAGGTCCCACTGCCAGAAGGGCCTCTCTCCTGAGGCAGCCCCAGGCACTCACTGTCTGCACGGGGAATCGGACCAAGTCCGCCCGGCACCGGATTTTGAGTGGGAAGAGGCGAGGGCTCTCTGGGAAGAAGGGCCCTTCCACCAGAACCACGTCATCCTCCGGGCTCTGGCGGCCTCTGCGCAGGTGCTCCGCGGGGGTCAGGCAGGAGCGAAGATCTTGGAGGCGCTGATTCACTTCCCTGGGGTGAAGAGAGAGGTTAGAGAGGTTCGGGTCCGCCCCGCTCCGAGACTATAGCCCAGAGAAGAGTCCTCTGCCTTGTACCTTAACTTCTGCAGGGCCCTCGTATGCTTCCTGCTTTTGATCCTTGGTGGAGGCAAGGGCAAAGGAGGCAAGTCCTGCACCCTGCAGAGAGAAAGGGTGCTAGGATGGAGGCAGTGGCGAGACTCTAGCCTCACCCCTCTCCTTTTCATGGGGCCTGGGTCCCCCAGGAGCTAGAGGAGAATTGGGGCATCTTCTGGTAGCCCCCGTTTTACTGGGAGGCCAGAATATGCACAAGACTACGAAGACACAGTCACCGCTTTTGATTGACATGGCTCAACAACTAGCAAAGGGACGGCCAATCTTTTCTCCTGCCTCTATTTTCTCAAATGAAGATGTAAAATATTCATGCAATCATTCGTGACGTATTAAAAGCTAATGACCCTTCAATCGGCTCTACGTCTACCCAAAGAATGAAAGGCTACATTTTTAAGGAAAGTTACTTCCAGCAGACATGGAGCATGTACTGTATGCCAAGTGGGAACTCAGGCGCTCTATCGGCAGTTCTCTATCACAGGCACTCGTGCCACCGTTTCACAGAGCTAAGAAGACGCGGGCAGGACGGGAAACACACAGACTGCCCCCCACCCCCACCCCCCAAGCCACACCACTAGCTTCAAACACTGAACTCCACTGGTGCTCTTCACTGACTCCCTGCATTCGCTCTTGACCCTTCCAGGGCCACCCAAGGGTCCTACCCATCTCGGCTTTCCCCTCCACCCTCTTCCTGCTCCCAGGGCTCAGGGGCCGTGCCTCACTCACAGAATCACCTCCTGCTTCTTCTCCTCTTCTTCATCCTTACCCCGCAGCTTCTTCTTCCAGGGAAGGCTTGGAAATGAGGGAGACTCGGGTCGGGAAGGGCTGGAATCTGCCAAGTCTGCACGTGAGGGCAAAGGAGGAGAGAATGGAGAGGATGCTACAGAGAAACGACAAGCAGAGACTTCCGAAGGTCTTCGCATGCCTGGTCAAGTATTTCTGACCAGGGTGCATTCTTAGACATCTAGAGCCACTTTCATAGAAACACCCCAGGGGGCAGCTTTTCTGTCTGCTGGGGAAGGACCTCGTCTCCTCAGCTCCTGCTTCCTGCTTCCTTGGAGGTTTCTGCTGTCTTGGCATCTATCTCACCCCATTTCTCTTCCGCTCGCTTAGTCTCTCCTCTCTCTCAAGAGATTTACTCAAAATACATCCTCCATAAATCCCGTCTAATTAACAAAACAGGCACAACCCATTCTCAAGTGGCATTATACTGGAGCATTCGGCGGTGAAAGTCTCTTTAGTAAAGGATGCAGGGAAAATAGGATTTCCACACAAAGAAAAAGGAAATGGGATCTATGCCTCACACCAAATTCAAAATGGATTGAGAACCTGAACGTGTAACTTCGAATCTGAAAAGCCTAAGCAGGATTAGCTTTTAACAACGGATTATCTAATATAGTAATGAAAGCCCAAGGAACAGAAGACAAAATAAATAGGACATCACAAAAAGTTGGCATTTTTGTTTATCTAAAGCCTTAAGCAGAAAATTAAAGGACAAGCGGGTCAGCTGGAAGATTATATCCAGAAATAATGTATCGGACAAGAATCGAATAGCAAAGCGTATATAGAATTATAACAACATCAAAACAACACCCAATGATCATATCATAAAATGGGCAAAAGACTTAAATGGGCCTTCTGTCAACGAGAACATTCACGTGGCCACCCAACACAAAGGATGCCCAGGGTCAATAGCCATGAGGAGATGCCAATCAAACCACAACCAGATACCGTTTTACTTCCACTACGTCGGCTCCACTAAAATTTACATCGCAGAAAATCACACATATTGGTGAGATGGGGAAACTGGAAACTTACGTTTCTCCACAGGAATTCTGAAACCATCCCAGGGTAGATTAATCTTAGAAGATCATAGTTCACAATGACAGTGTGAACTGGGGAACAGAGACTGGGGTCTTAGGGACACCAGCAGCCATCTCAGTACAACTCTTGGTCTCTCCCTGTCCGAGGAAACTAGAGTGGTGGAAACAGAAAAGACACTTGGAAATCGTGAGTCCGATGGACTTCAGGAAACACTTGAACACCAGTTTCCACAACTCTAAGACCAGAGATTAGACAGTGCCCCACTACCACTATCAACTGCTCTGAAAGGAATCCAGGAGGTGGTCCTGGAAAAGTGTGTACATGCGTATGGGTGCGTGTGGGTGGTGGGGAGGCAGGCGGAATGTGGAACAAAAAAGGCTTACTGATCAGAGAGAATGGGTATGGCTGTCTGGAAATGCTCTCGCTCACATGGTTCGATTTTCACCCTCCAACAACAGTCAGGTCTCCACGGAGATACCGTTCGTGATACACACGGCCCCATATAATCAGTCATTTCAGATACAGTTCAGAAGGGCTAGGAACGAAGGGGAATGGGAAGGCTCACAGAGAAATGAGGGGAGCGAAGCCCCAAGGGCGTCAAGGGGAGCCCGCTGTGCAGACCCTGTTAAATGGAAAACTAATGTGCTCTAAAAGACCTGCCCCCAATCAACCATTAAAAGTAAACCACTCTTTAAAAGGTGAGAGAGGAAACACACAGGGAGGAAGTAAAAGATCACTGACAATATCATGGGGAGGTGGGGGATGAAAGGGAGGCGCCGTGCAGGACATCTGGGAAGAAACAGAATGCTTGGAAACTGACCGTAGTAGCAGTTGCACAATTCTGCTTGTCGCAAGTGAACTGTTAACTCCCAATTAATAATATAATTAATAAAAAAGAAAGTTAATACTTTCACACACATGACCAAAACGTGTGTCAGAAGAGACCCAGAAGCCTGTTCCTGGGCACCGAGAACCGAACGAGACTGGAAGCAAAGTCCAGAGGGAGCCTGAGGAGGCAAAGAAAAGCATGGAACAAGCGCGAGCAGGAGACAGAAAACCCAGGGAGAAGCCTGCGTTCAGCACGCAGCCAGAGTAAAGAATGGCAGTAAAAATGCAAGCCTCGGGTGGCGATAGTGAATTCGTCTGTGGGCAAAATATTGAATGATACAAGGAACATGAGAGAAGATAGGAGGATGAAAAATCATTGGTAGATGTTCAACCATCTCGAGATCATTTATGATCAAGAACCAAGGATATTGATTGAAGAAGTCCAAGAAATAAGCAAAAAACGAGACTCCAGGAATTGATGGAATACCAATCAAAACGTTAGCAAACTGATGCACACTGGAAGCATTTACCCACCTATGCCAACTGACTGGAAGAGATGCATATTTGTGCCCGTGCCAAAGAAAAGAGAGCCAGTCGAATGTGGAAATTATCAGACAACATCGTTAATCTCTTGACAGTAGTCTAGACATCAGCTATGGCATGCACTGGGCAAATCCGATGTTTCTAATGTTGAAGAGCAAGGCTGTCACGATGAGGAACAAGGTGTGTCTGACCCAAGCCACAGTATCTCCAACAGCCTCATGGGTATTTAAAAGCTGAACATTAAGGCTGAAGAAAACTGATGCGTTTGAATGAAGGTGCTGATGAAGACTACTCAAAGTTCCATGGACTGCCAGACAAACAACTCTTTCTTGGAAAAAGTACAGCTAGACTGCTCCTTAGAAGCAAGGAGGGCGGAACTTTGTCTCACGATCAGAAGAGGCAAAGCCATCAAGCTTCATAAAGCAGAATGTCGGTGAGAAGGAGGGAGACCCCAACGAGAGGGATGGACACAGTGACCCACACATTAACTAACGACACTGTGAGAACGGCACAGGCCCGGAGTGTACTGTTCTACGTGGGGTCGCGGTAAGTCAGAACCGAACATCATTCAAATCACATGCAAACACATTTTACTGAAGATCATTTTTAAATGGTAGCAGTAGTAACAACATCAACAGGGAGCTGCTGAATTCAGGAGAGAGAGTAGGGCCGGGGGCCATCTTTGCTCACGTCCCCATCTTCTGATTTCTTGACGGCGACTTCTGTGAGCACTGAGTGTGGACCCAAGTAAAGTGAATTCCTGACACGCTGTCCAATGGTCCAGTTGTGAGGACTTTTGTCATCCCGACATTGGGTTGTAATCCGTGAAGACCCTCTTCTGGAGGCCTCCATGGTTAATAAACGTGAGATGGACCACCAGAGCTCGAAGCAAAAGGCTCTTTTTATTTTTCTGGCCAGAGACTGCCTCAGCCCAACGCAGGGGTATGAGAGAGCAGCCCCTTCCCCCGATGGAGCTGGGTACTTACTTTCACAATTCTACACAAAGGCAAGTAATAGCTACACTTTTACGAATGAAGCAGTTGGGGCTCCAGTCTTCACAGCATCCACCCCCTGCAGTCTGCGGCTTCATGGCTTCATCTCGGTGGCTGGAGCTCTGCAGGAGGGCAGGGTGAGTCATGCTGAGGCGCTCTGTTTGGTTAGCCAGACTTGCCCTTCATATGGTAACTGACCGGTGTGCTTCACACAGGCGAATGTTTACAGAAGCAAGATAGCACTAGTTGGGCCCAGAACTGTTCAGAGGTGAGATTGGATTCTCCCAAAATGGTGCAGCAGTTGTGGAAAACAGTGTGGAAACCCTTCAAAAAACTGAAACTAGAACTGGGATGATGCAGCCATTCCATCCTAGGGACATACTCCAAAGACACCTGTAGTACTAGTCACAATAGCCAAAGGTGGAGACAACCCCAATGTCCGCCAGCAGATGAATGGATCAAATAAAGTGTGGTACTGTATTCACAGACAGTAGAACACGACCCAGGCAGCAAGAGAGATGGAGTCTCCATATGTGCTACAGTATAGATACAGCTGGAAGACATTACAGTGAAAGAGACCTACCAATCACAAATGGGAAGCTATTATCTATCACATATATAAAAGGTAAAGGCAAATGTGGAATGACCTTTATTTGTGGGACCAGAGGCAGGAGGGCGGTGGTACGGAAGGGCGGTTTAACAGGTATGGAAATCTCAAATTGATTAAGGGAAAGGTTGCACAGGCAATCACTGCAGGGATTGCCAGTAAGTTATATACCTGGAAAAAGCCAAACTGGAAAAAGGTGGGTGGTAGATAGTTACAACAAAAGCAAAACCAAGAAAGTATAGTAGCTGCTGAAGCTGCTTATGAGATTTGGTTCCTGGGCTTGGAAATGGAAGGTCATGGTTTGTTCCACAGAACATCCATGTACTTCTAAGTGGCCTAAATGACAGGCTAAATGCTTTTCCTGAACCTCCCAGTTAACTGCAGGAGTCTAAGGTCTTAAAAGCTTGCCCAAAGCCATCCAAGGCACAACTGGTGTCTATTTGCCTGGAGCAACAAAGAAGGAAGAGTCTGGAAGAAAGTGGGATGTGTGGCTAATTGCCTCCATAAACAGCTTCCTCAGCAGCCAGGCCAAAAGAACTGGGTGCTGAACATTCTACAGAAGAGTCCAGATCCAAACGGGAGGAAATGCAGAACATACCGTATATAAACTGAGTTTCTCAGCACATTTTAATGCAGTTTTTGTGGTAAAATTAGGTGCCTCGGCTAATATTCAGGTCATCTTATATACTCATCATCAGTATATAATGGAGTATATACGTAACTTCAAATTCTCATGGACTCTAGGCTTCCTGAAGTCATGAAGGTTGCATGAGCTCAAACTACAGCCTTGAGATCATCTTTAAAACTTAGGCCAAAGATACCTGAGAAGTTTTCTTAAAACAAAGCAATAGTTTAGCTTAACCAGTAAAGAATAGCTGCATTGAGCACCGTACTCTTTCAAGAATAATCTTTAAGAGATCAGTAAACACTGGAAAGATGGGACAGAAGCCTGAGGTGGCAGTGAGCAATGCTACTGGGGCAGGAGCAGCTCAATGCAGGGTGGTGAGATCAGCTGTGCCACTTGAAGAATGTAAATCAGTGTCATGAAAGGGCACGTGCAGAAAGCGTTGAACTGGCATATAGACTGTTGTATATATTCTCACCAAGATAGTTGGTTTTTTTTTAAGTTTTAAATATGCTGAACAAGTAATAGTCTGCAGAGCCCCAGGGCACACACCCAAACCACACCAAACCAAACCCACTGCCATCGAGTCCTTTCCAACTCACAGTGACCCTTACAGGGCAGAGAGGAACTGTCTCGACGGGTTTCTGAGACTGTAACTCTCTCCAGAGTAGAAAGTCTGTCCTTTCTTCGACAGAGCTGGTGGTTTCGAACTGGGTTGACAGCCCAGCTTGTAACTCACTACCCACCAGGATTGAGGCACACAGACTACACAATTACATGAAAAGGAACTCAAGGGCCATACGTTGTGAAGAAACTTCCCAATGGATTTGGGTAGATTATAGCAGAACAGTGTCCTTGCCATGGGCTGAGGCAAGAGTCGGTGTGATGGGTACAGGCAGTCAGAACGTAGCTCACTTTAACCCAGGGCGTGCTCCTGACACGTGTAGACCCCTTGCAGGCCACACAGTGTAAATACATACCTAAAGAAACAAGGGACAAAGCACGAACAGCTACACACACACCACGTTCACCACAGCGCCGACTCAGAATAGCAAGAAGCTGGAAACCAGTGGAAAATAAATGAAGAAACTGATACACACAATAAAATACTGTGCATCACTAAATAATAATGATAACGCTTGTGAGATACCTCCCGACAAGGATGGATGTGGAGGATAATATGCTGAGTAAAGTAAGCCAATCACAAAAGAGCAAATACTGTATGTGAGGATTTTTTAAAATTAAGATAAAGGTATTCCTTCCCAAAGAAACAGACTCTGAGGGTTAGCAGGTGGGAAGGATCGGGAGGGAAGAGGAAGTACTAGGGCTGAGGGTAGACAGGTAGTAACTTGGTGAAGGGGAAGAAAATATCCTACGAGATGGTGAGGGGATGAGAGGGGGAAAGGCACGGTTAACAGAGCAAGTTATTGGGAAGGTTGACAGAGTTGTTGAATACAAAAATGATGGTCTGATAATGCAACCCCCATCTAACTCCCAATAGGGTAAGGAAGACTTGGAAACGAACGGATGCTATGGAATCATGTGAAGAACACTGAACACACGGGACTGCCAGAACAAGCACATCTGTCTTAAGAGTGCAGCCAGAATGTTCCCTAGAAGCCAGGGAGGCGAGACTTTACCTCGGGTAATTTGCACATGTTTATCAGGAGAGCCCAGTCCTGAAGGACAGCATCATGCTTGGTCACGTACACAGTCGGTGAAAACGAGGAAGGCCCTCAACAAGAGGAACTGACACAGTGACTGTAACAACCCTTGGTTAAAAATGCCCTTTGTGAGGCTGGCCCAGGAGTGGGTGGCAGCTTGTTCTGTTGCACCCAGGGCCACTGTGAGTGGGAAAGACACTGACGGCTCTAATGACAGAGTAACAAATGAAATGTTTCAACACGCACTACTCCTCCACGCCAAGACATTGAGAAGGCAGCTCCCTGGCCAACTGATTGGAAGAGATCCCCATTTGTGCTCATTCCAAAGAAAGGTGACATAACGGACACAGAAAGTACTGAAGGACATCATGACCACCACATGTGAGGAAAACTGCTGAAGACCACTCAACAACGGGTGCATGGCCTGGGAGCTGCCAGAAATCCAAACAGAATTCAGAAGAGGATGTGGAATAAGGAATATCATTGCTGCAGTCAGACCTATCTTGGGTGAAGGCCGAGGATACCAAAAAGTTATTTTACTGGTTTTTCTCGACTACGTGGAGCCTATCAAACAATGGATGCCCGTTTACTGCCTTTGGCTGGCTTGCTAAGTTCACATTCCAAAATTGCCGGCAAAGGCTGGGAGCACTAACAAAATTCAAAAAGTTTTTGCAAAGAACTTCTTGCAGATTTAGTCAAAATTTACAGATTCCCTACACACAGACACACATCCCCACCAGGATTACAGAATTGGGATCTCTGGAAGCACAGCTGGGAAATCTATATACTAAGACGCCTGCCTACTTGACAGAATTTTGACATAACTCCCTAACTCTTGTGTCTTCTGGTTAGTAACCCAGCCTTTCTGAAGCCTTTTTTTTTTTTTTCACCTTGCATACAGGAATTGCCTCTCTCATCCCCACTCCATGAACCTCAACCTCAGGGCACAAAAGACTGTAGGGAAGGTGAACTTCATAAATCTCCTCAGAGGCCAGCAGGAGCTCCGCTCCCCTGGAACCTCCCCACTTACCATCCTCAAAATCAGGGGGGCACTGTTTCAGGAGGGACAGGTGATCTGGGAGAAGGTGGAGACTGCTTTTTACCTGCAAAGGCCAAAAAGAGCAGGAAGGTCAGCCCCCAGTCCTCCCTCCAGCCCCGAGTCCCACTAAGCAAGCAACTACTACAACCACCCTCTCTGGGGGGGTGACCCGTCAGAGTTCCCCCAAAAGCCATACGCTCGCTGAGACACCCACTTCTCCCTAGGCACTGGTCCACTGGCACAGTTCTTTCTCTCACTAGATTCCTAGCCATCCCTCTGCCTTCGACCAGTAGGGGAGCCCCGCCCCGCTAATTCACCCACTCGCAGGAGACTCCAGCCCCCCTGGAGTGGTCCACGCCCCCTTGCCCCGCCCCCCTCCCGCCCCAGTTCTAAAGCCTCTCTGGTCAAATCCCAGATCCTCCCACGTCCCCAAGATGCCGGCTTCCGGGAATCCCAAATTCCCAACACACCTGCGCAGGCGGGACGGTCCGGCAAGTCTCCGACCCAAGAACCCGGGCCCTGCGGCCCGTTTGTTCCCCCAAGAGCAGCCCCACCCCCCCGGAACCGAATCCTCCTCGACCCCGCCTCGCGGCCCGGC